AGAACTCGTTAGGAACCTGGAAAATTGGGAAAAATTAATTTTAATTAATTGTGTAATGATTCCTTAATGTTTTTATAATGTGATGTAATTCAATGTGAAGGGGTCCTGGAGCCCACGTGGTGCACCAGCAGCACCCCTGGGTGTGCTGTAGAACTCGTTACGGACCTGGAAATTTGGGAAAAATGATGGGAAAAATGATGGTTTTAATTAATTACATAATGATTCATTAATGTAATGTTACAATAAAATAATAAAATGTAATTCAATTCAATGTGAAGGGGTCCCTGAGCCCACGTGGTGCACCAGCAGCACCCCTGGGTGTGCTGTAGAACTCGTTAGGAACCTGGAAAATTGGGGAAAAAAGGGGAAAAACAATGGAAAAATGATGGCTTTAATTAATTATGTAATGATTAATTAATGTAATGTTATAATAAAATAACAAAATGTAATTCAATGCAGTGTGAGGGGTCCCTGAGCCCACGTGGTGCACCAGCAGCACCCCTGGGTGTGCTGTAGAACTCGTTAGGAACCTGGAAAATTGGGAAAAATAATGGGAAAAATGATGATTTTAATTAATTATGTAATGATTCATTAATGTAATATTATAATTAAATAATGTGATGTAATGTAAAGTGAAGGAGTCCTTGGAGCCCACGTGGTGCCAAACCAGCACGCCCTGCGTGTCCGGGTAGAACTCGTTACGGACCTGCGGGAAAATTGGGAAAAATGATGGTTTTAATTAATTACATAATGATTCATTAATGTAATGTTATAATGAAATAATGTGATGCAATTCAATTCAATGTGAAGGGGTCCCTGAGCCCACGTGGTGCACCAGCAGCACGCCCTGCGTGTCCCGGTAGAACTCGTTACGGACCTGCAGGGAAATTGGGAAAAATTAGTTTTAATTAATTGTGTAATGATTCATTAATGTAATGTTATAATGAAATAATGTGATGTAATTCAATGTGAAGGGGTCCTTGGAGCCCACGTGGTGCACCAGCAGCACCCCTGGGTGTGCTGTAGAACTCGTTAGGAACCTGCAGGGAAATTTGGGAAAATAATGGAAAAAATGGGGAAAAATAAAAATATTCCTGGAAAAAACTGCAGAGGGAAAACAATTCCGGGAAAAAAATGAGGGGGAAAAAAGTCCAGGGGAAAAAAAATCAGAGGAAAACAAAAAACAAAAAACAAAAGAAAATTAATGTAATATTATAATTAAATAATGTGATGTAATGTAAAGTGAAGGAGTCCTTGGAGCCCACGTGGTGCACCAGCAGCACCCCTGGGTGTCCCGGTAGAACTCGTTAGGAACCTGGAAATTGGGGAAAAAAGGGGAAAAACAATGGGAAAAATGATGGTTTTAATTAATTACGTAATGATTCATTAATGTAATATTATAATTAAATAATGTGATGTAATTCAATGTGAAGGAGTCCCTGAGCCCACGTCGTACACCAGCAGCACGCCCTGCGTGTCCCGGTAGAACTCGTTACGGACCTGGGAAATCGGGAAAAATTAATTTTAATTAATTGTGTAATGATTCATTAATGTTTTTATAATGTGATGTAATTCAATGTGAAGGGGTCCCTGAGCCCACGTGGTGCACCAGCAGCCCCCCTGGGTGTGCTGTAGAACTCGTTAGGAACCTGGAAAATTGGGGAAAAAAGGGGAAAAACAATGGAAAAATGATGGTTTTAATTAATTACATAATGATTCATTAATGTAATGTTATAATGAAATAATGTGATGCAATTCAATTCAATGTGAAGGGGTCCCTGAGCCCACGTGGTGCACCAGCAGCACGCCCTGCGTGTCCCGGTAGAACTCGTTACGGACCTGCAGGGAAATTGGGAAAAATTAGTTTTAATTAATTGTGTAATGATTCATTAATGTAATGTTATAATTAAATAATGTGATGTAATGTAAAGTGAAGGAGTCCTTGGAGCCCACGTGGTGCACCAGCAGCACCCCTGGGTGTCCCGGTAGAACTCGTTAGGAACCTGGAAATTGGGGAAAAAAGGGGAAAAACAATGGGAAAAATGATGGTTTTAATTAATTACATAATGATTTATCAATATAATGTTATAATAAAATAATAAAATGTAATTCAATGCAGTGTGAATGGTCCCTGAGCCCATGTGGTGCACCAGCAGCACCCCTGGGTGT